CAGCAGACCTGCTCAAAGCCCTCTGCTACCCCCGAGTCAAGGTTGGGAATGAATACGTGACCAAGGGTCAAACTGTGCAGCAGGTAACAACCAGCTGGTGATTGGGAACCTCTGGCATGTATCACTTACTATTTGTTTAGGACATTGTTTTTCTTTTGCTCCATTCTTCGTCTTAGGTGAACAATTCAGTGGGTGCTCTGGCAAAGGCGGTCTATGAGAAGATGTTCCTCTGGATGGTTGTTCGCATCAACCAACAGTTGGATACCAAGCAGCCCAGACAGTACTTCATTGGTGTCCTGGACATTGCTGGCTTCGAGATCTTTGATGTAAGGATTCCAGGTTTGAGGACTGCTCTTGCAGTCTTGAGGTTGCTGTACTAGAGGATGTCCAAGTAATATTCTTCTGAAGGTTTAAGATGCTAGTCATTTGTAATTTCCTGGAAAAAAATCCTTCATTTTCTTTTGTAGCACAGAGGAAAATCCTCAGAAGCTTTATTAGTACAAGAACAGAGCTCTGTTTTGTGTATAAAAGTAGCAAACAGAATTTTATGTTTTGCAATGGTTTCACAGTTTGACCTTAATGTTAATGATGAAAAAACCCCAACATAATTACAGTATTTTTATATAAGAGTTTCTAGAACAGAACTAGGATTTGGAGAACCATTAACAAACATAAAACAGGTGAAAGATGTGTAAATTTTTTAATGGATCAAGGAATTAATAGATAAGGGTTTAATCAGAGATATTAAAAGTTTAAAAATTGGAGACCAGGGAATACACTCATCTTTCTGACTGAACAAAAAAATGTCGAAGTACTTTATGAATTTTAGGAGATTCACTAGGAATATCTGCTCTGGAAAAATTTCCATTTTCATTATGTAGGTATTTCCTTGGGAAGCTGCACACAGGTCCTGCTATGGTGCCGCCCTGATAATACAGTTGTGTTTTAACAGGGGAGATTTATAAAGGATTGAGAAAGATCAAGAACTGTGCATATTGATGATGGGTGGTTGTTGATTTTTTTTTTTCCCACTGGGAAGTTCAACAGCCTGGAGCAGCTGTGCATCAACTTCACCAACGAGAAACTGCAACAGTTCTTCAACCACCACATGTTCGTGCTGGAGCAGGAGGAGTACAAGAAGGAAGGAATTGAATGGGAGTTCATTGACTTCGGGATGGACCTGGCTGCCTGCATTGAGCTCATTGAGAAGGTAAATTTTTAAAACAAAGTGTATTTTCAGGAGTGCCTTATTTTAACTTGAAAATAGTTAAATTCTGTTTAAAAGAAAGGTGTCTTCCATGGTTAGTTTCATGCATTCAGTTCTAGTTGTTCATATATCTCTTGATCTGTAATGTTGCCCATAATGCATTAGAGATATTACAAAGTCCACAGATAACATGGAAGTCATTCCTCACACACCTTCTCTGTGTGGGAGGTATCTCCGCTTGCTTGATTAAAGCAAATTTTTTTCAAAAACACAGAGCAGCTCCCAAGGTAAAATAAGAATATTTTATTACAGTTCTACAATAAAGTTATCTGGAAAATGCATTTTTTTAAAGGTAAAATAAGAATATTTTATTACAGTTCTACAATAAAGTTATCTGGAAAATGCATTTTTTTTTAGATGGTTCATGAGTGAGTATAGGCCAATACAGTCAGTGCCTGACCTCTGAGTGCAAGAAACTGAAAGAGATTTCTTGTAATTCTGAATACTTTAACGAGTTGATTGAAAGTACAAAAACTGAAGTAAGTATGCAATGGACTCATTTGTGAAAGATATTTTTAAAAGTAATCCTTCTTCTCCTGATTTTTTAACATGCTTTTTGGAATAAAAAGCATTCCTGAATCACCATGCCAAAGTATGAGCAGGTGAATCTTTTAAATTCACTGTTTAGAAAGTTTTTTTTTCATGGCAAGATTATTGGTCTGTTTCTCGGCTTCGTGTGCTTTACCATATTCTCTTTAAGACCAAGTCGTGATCATATTGTTCTACAAGTATTTTCTCTTCTTTATCGTACTATCTTCCAGCCTATGGGCATCTTCTCCATCCTGGAAGAGGAGTGTATGTTCCCCAAGGCAACTGACACCTCTTTCAAGAACAAGCTCTATGACCAGCATCTGGGCAAGTCCAGCAACTTCCAGAAGCCCAAGCCTGCCAAAGGCAAGGCTGAGGCCCACTTCTCCCTGGTGCACTATGCTGGCACAGTGGACTACAACATCTCTGGCTGGCTTGAGAAGAACAAAGACCCCCTGAATGAAACTGTCATTGGGTTGTACCAGAAATCATCTGTGAAGACACTGGCTTTACTTTTTGCCTCCTATGGTGGAGCAGAAGCAGGTTAGTTTTCTAAAATACTTTTTTTCTGAACATTTAAGGTATGTAAAGATGCAACAAAAAAGATAAACAGAAAAGTTCTTTAACAAACTCTTTTCATTTTTGAAGAGGCTGGTGGTGGTGGTGCAGGTGGTGGAAAGAAGGGTGGCAAGAAGAAGGGTTCTTCCTTCCAGACAGTCTCAGCTCTTTTTCGGGTAAAGTGTGAATTTCATTGTCTGTAAAGTGACATGAACATAGTTTCAAATCTGAGCTATCTAAACTCCTGTTCTTCTCATGATCTTGGTTTTGTGATGAAACAATAATAATATCAAGTAAGCAGAATTAATTCACTGCCTTTTCCTAGTAATTGTCTGTTCACATTTAGGATTTATTTCAATCAGTCTTCAGCTGACTCCCACAATTTCTTTTAAAAGTTCACTTACATTCTTTGTGAAAAATACTTTTCGCAATCATCTCAGATGTAATATAAATATTAATCCTATAAAAGATTGTGTTAAAATTTTTATACAGTTCTTTTTTATTTCCTGCAGCCTAAGGTGTGGAATTTCAAACTTTCTTTAAATGAGGATTCATAAGTATATAAAAGGTTTGATTAAACCTGAATTTTTAAATGAAAATTTACTTCCTCTTAAGATTCATTACATTCAATATTTGGCAGCTAGATACAGTGTATAGAGAAGGATTTTTTTTAATCTAAGCTGCTACATATGATCCCACAGGAGAACTTAAACAAACTGATGACCAATCTACGGAGCACTCACCCCCATTTTGTCCGTTGCATCATCCCAAATGAAACAAAAACTCCTGGTAAGACACTCAAGCAGAAAGAGAACTTGCTCTGATACATCCATTCCCCTCTGCACTGGGAACTGTGGTGTTCATTTATGCTCTGAACTGCTAGGTGCCATGGAGCATGAACTGGTACTTCACCAGCTGCGGTGTAACGGCGTGCTGGAAGGCATCAGAATTTGCAGGAAAGGTTTCCCCAGCAGAGTTCTCTATGCTGACTTCAAACAGAGGTAAAAGCAGTGCACTTCTCAGCATCATTCAAAACAGTGTTGCTTCATTCATATAGGTTCATTCGGGCTGGGCTCTGTTGTCAATAATAGCTATATATGAGCTGGTGGGGTTCAGTAGCTAGGGTGTGTTGGTTGGGTAAAACAGCCTTATCTTCCTCTTTCTCTTTTCACAGATACAAGGTGCTTAATGCCAGTGCTATCCCAGAGGGACAGTTCATTGA